GAAGTCTGATACGTTTTTTTTTTTTTAATCCCCACAACATGAGTAAAGCTGAATAAAGGAGGAGATGTCCAGAGCTTCACCCTCATGGCTGTGTCCCTTACTACTGACGAGAATTCCAACACCTCTGTCATCCTGGATACTTAAGCAGCCCCTGACCTTCTAAGTGCTTGGCTTAGCTCAGTTCCTGTGCTTTACAGCCTGCGGTTTTCCCTCCTTACTGCTGCTGACACAATAAATTACAGGGCACATGAAAATAACATAATTTCACCTTTTTTTTCCCCTAAGCCCAACTGCACTACACGATGCCTTGGTAAATAGTTGTTGGCAATATGCCCAGGACATACTGTAATGATCAGAAGGTGTAGGTAGTGCCATTAGCACTTCAGAAAAAAATGAAGATATTCCACAGGATTTTTACTACGATCAGCACCTTATGCGTTGTATATAATTCCCATGAGGGCAATGGTTCAACTCCTTGCATTCAGCCTAGCTTTGAGGCTTGGAGTAACACATGCACACCTTATATCTCTGTGCGAGGCTGTAAAGAGCTGTAGCACACTCAGGAGCAAGAAACAAAGGCAACGGTCGTTTAGAGTCTTTTTATGTTGTTTCGTTCTTTCAGAAGGATTTTCTGTTCTTTTTTTGACCAGCTTTAAAGGCCTTTCATCTTGATCAAATTCCCCCTGCTTTACTTTTTTTTTAAAAAAAGTACCGCTCTTTGAACTATTTACTGTCCAGAGTTAGCATACGTACTGAGATAAGACTGTATCCGAGTTGAACTGAAGGTTCCATTTACTTGCGTAATGTACACTCAGTATGCAAGCGCAAATTGTGTAGTTAGTTTTGGTGCCACCAGATGGAGACATGGATATTTAGTAGATTGTGTGTTTTATTTTTTTAACAGCAACCCCCAACCCCCAACTTTTAACTTTGGAATCTAAAGGACTGAAAAGGATATAGGAATGAAAGCAGTGGTGGTCAATACCTTGTGTCTTTGAGAAGGGACAATCATGTTTTTCAGATATCTGCAATTGAAATACACTGAGAAAATACCTGCTGTCCTGCAGTGTGGCCTTGTCCACTGGTGACTTAACCTAGCTGAATTAAGTGGAAAAGCAGTTACGTCCTCTAGCAGACCATAGGTGTGTGCTGCATGCGTAACTCACTGTATTTCAGATGAAAAAGTAGGAAATGAAGATCATTCATCAAAGCTTCATGTAACTGATAAAAGGCTGATTTAGTTCTTAGACATCAAATATCATCAGTGTATTTTAAGAATGGAACATGGAGATTTACAGTACAATGCTAGTATCCCTCTCAGGTTAGATACTGTAGGTGATCATCACAGCATTTTTCTGCATCTAACATCAAAAAAGGGCAAAGCAAAGTCTATCACTGCACAACTGTTGTGGAAGCTTTGGTAGAGCCCAGTAGATGAAGTAAAATTTAATTATGTGAAAATGTAATAATGTTTGTAGTAATCATCTGACAAAAACGCAATGAGAAATGGAATCACATAACTCTCAAATCAAAATACCATACTTATTTACTCATTTTAATTTATTGTTTTTTTAGCAAGTAAAGCAAATGTTTAGGCACCAGAGACATGCTGACAAAATTGAACAATAACCAATATGCAGAAACACATGGCCAAACTAGAAATGAAATAAGCCAAAGAAAACAGACAGTCTACAGTGGCATTACTTATCCAGGCCAAAGTGAGGTTTATTTACAACTACCAGAGCACATTTGCAACAGAAGCAAATTTGCAACACAATTAGGCATAGCAAATCCTGGTTTTATTTGCATTTCCTTATCTTATTTCTCTCCCACTATTGCACCGTACAAGCCAAAGCAAAAAAAAAAAGTGGGAATGTGAGGAGAATTGGCCCTTTATTCCTTCATTTTATTTTTTTAACCTTAAATAAACACAAATGTCTCATCCCAGTAAGTATTCATTAATGCTGGGAAAAGGTCAAATGAAAATTGGCACGACTACGAAAACCCCAAATCAGTACCTTCGTATCCAGAAAGCAGAAGTAAAACTACTGTTATATGAAAGAAAAAAATGGCCATTTTCAGATTTAAGAGGTTTATTATTTGTCAATAAATAAATATCAACTAGATACGTACATCCAAAACAGTTAAGTGCTAAGTCCATCACAAAGGCACAAAATCCTTTATATTTCAAAGACTCTTTCACCTTTAAGGCCATTTATACACAGACTAAAGCAGCAGCCATAAAGAATACCGCCAGATACAGCCTTATATGCAAAGCTAGACGCAAACTGACACATTAGATAAAAGAGGCATCAGCTTCTAATTTGTGAGTAAATTTATTTGTGAGCAAATTCAAAAAATGTCTGATGCAAAACTAAGACGATGACAGACTTATCAGATACTGCATTGATAGCATTCAGATTTCACTGTTGCAGTTCAGAGGATTATTGATTCAGCTTCCCGATTTAAGTCTTCACCATGAGGAAGAACCGATTATATACAGTAAAGATGTTCGAGCGGAGGAGGCTGGCAGCAAAGGAACAAGTAAAGGTTAATTCCGCGCTGAAAACCCTGAAGAAGGCTCTACAGTCGAAACCCTGTGTTTCTCCTTTCTACTTTTCACATGGGAATTAACCTTTACTTGTTACTGATCATGCGAATGCCAAAGTACTTGTTAATATCCGATTTACTCATTTGTTTCAGCATGCTCCGCTTTCAAAAACATTGCCCTTTCATCTTCAATCAAAAGATCAGCAAAAATGGCTGTCTTTTTACCCACGATGAACAGCTTTCTAATCCTTGTGGCCGTGTTTCGAGACACATTTCTCCGGTGTTAATTGTGATTCAAAGGTGCAATATCTGTAGGAAGGTGAAAGTTATACTTATTCGGCTGTGTTTCGAACTACACACTCTCTACAGTCACCAAACTCATGCAGACTGTGACCCAGCTTTAGGGAGAGAGTGGATTCATTATACAAATTCAATTTAAAACCGAGTTTGACTTTGATGAATTAATTTTCTTGGCTGAATGGTAAACAGCTGCCTGAGCCTGCACAGCTGAAGCACTCCTCACCAAAAGCATGCAGCCAGCCTGCAAATTGAACCCCTTTTTTCTGATGGGAAAACGTATCTCTCTAGCTTTACAATCCAGCAGAATCCAATTGAGGGGCTTATCATGGTAAATTTACATTAACCGACTGATTTGCTGGTTGCGGTGGTTGAACATGCTGCTCATGGACATCCCAAGAAAATAAGAGCAAATCACACTTCACAACTATCATCTGCAATGATAAAACGTGTTCTCATTCTAGGGTGCATGAATTAGCCCTAGTCTGGACACAATTTGCTTTCTCCTGATAAGGTTATTGGAGAACCTTCTGGTTAGAGTTGTATTAACAATTGAATGTATTATTATTAGCCAAAAAAGTCCTAATAAAACAGCTTCATTGTATTCATTAGGCAAATCATGACTTGAAAACAGCCCTTAATATATGCCGACTATTGTGTAACAGTGATGCTCCCCTTATCCTTTCAAAGGATACTCAGTCTTTCTGAACCATTGGTAAAATATAAAACATGTACAGTACAATACAATTTAGCCCTACAAAAAAACTCTTGGCAGGGTACGAGTTTTATGCAAACTCATTTGAACGTTTCAGCTTGATCTTTATCTCTCCTACTGTTTTCCAGGGTATGCTTTTTTCATTTCATACATCCTGTTGAACTAAGAAGACAGTGAGTTATGAAATATGCAGAAGGCCTTAAATGCCATATCTACTGTTTATATGACATACTGCACTGTATATACACCTAGAGCCTGTGAACAGCTCATCTTTTAAAGTTCCACAAATTTGACACCTGTCACTTATTAACTCACATTAACAACATGTTGCTGCTGCCAGCAGGAAAATTCTGTTAATTATAGCACCTTACAGGATCACAGTGCAAACAAAATTCAGGTAGGGGTGGTAATACTTGGAATGAACAACTGTGTATTCTAACACTGGGTGGCATGGAGGGAGAAAACCCATTGTCAATTCTGAGTTTTAAAAAACTAATCACATACTGTACCAAGTGTATATATTCAAGAGAATGCAAGTTGTACCACATTAGTTATGAACAAGACTCACTATCATGCTGATGAGCCCCAAATACAGGCAGCACAGTCTATTACGTAATTTTTAAATGAAACAAAAACATAACTCACAATAATATATACTGTACAGCTGCAGAACTGATTTTATGTACCCCTCAAAAAAAGCAGACATATCTTTTTGCAAACTTATTCCGGAGTGCTTCCAAAATGAAACAAGGTACATTAAAAAGGTATGCTCATTTTCAAATATGAAAGTACAGGAAATTAATGTTTTTTTTCTCCACAATAAAGAAGGACGTGAAACACAAAGGAGAAGGCAGTCCTCTCAGAGTTTAAAGAGCTCTCTGTGCTTGTTCTGCTCCGCCTGAGTCTGATTCAACTGATGACATCATTGTCCAAGTTGACATTTTAAAAACAGAGCAATAGGATTCTAACCATTCTGTTTAAAAAAAGCAGTGGTGTAATGGCTTAATGAATGTAAGAGGTAGTGTCTTTCACAATAAATGTCCAGCCCTGTAGACAAACAAGAACATGGGATGGAAAAAACACCTCCCTGGATATAACCAGCACTTTTGACAAATAGGAAATGCAAAGTCACTATAGTAGGTCTGTGTTAAAGCAGAGAGATAAACATCCAAGCATGCAGGAACTACTGTCCATGTCAGGGCAAGACTTAAATCCTAACTGTGTTTTGTGTAGTAATTTATCTAAATAATTTCATTCATAAGCCTAATGAATTTAATTAATTACGCACAAACTGAAACAATCACTTGGAACAAAACCCATCTGGACATCTGGACAGGGATTGCTGGTGCAAATCAAGATCTTATCGACTTTGCACAGCAGGCTAAATCAGCTATCAGCACACCCCTTTATAATACAAGCAATAAATAAGCACAGCGTGGCTCAACCTTTTTAATGTTTTTTTTTTTCAAAAGAGCCAGGAAAGTACACTTCTTGAAGTCTGGTCACACTCAGATGCAGGCACACTTACGTGAATTCTCTGAAGTGATCTTCAGAGAAGAGTGAGAAGAGACAGAATTTTGAGATGTGTGAATGAAATGTGACAATAAATCACACAAAAACGTTGTGGGGGAGGAGGGGGTCTGGTATACACTGCCCTGCCATCTTCTTGAAGGAGACTCCCCAGGGTCCTTCAAGAAAAGTCAGGAAGAGACCACACATCCACTAGCAGTCATCTTGGGGACTGAATGACCACTTCTCTTTTCTACCTTTAGCTGAGTTCTTACAGTACATTATTTATCTTCCCATTTTACCAAAGGGTCTAGATGGGCTGAATAGCCTCCTTCTGGTTTATAACCTTTCTAATGTTCATTCTGTCTTTGCAAAATTGAACGCAGCGACTTAATTACTAAGTGTACAGACTCTCCCATATCACATCAGGAGCACTCTAGAACAGGATTTAATTTCTTCTTGCCATATTGTGATTGGACATGGAAGAGCTAGTACACTTAGTAATTATGCGTCAATATTCAATATAGGAAAAATGATCAGCTGTTCCCTTAGGGAAATAGGCAAGAAAACATACAGTAACTGATTTGTATTGATTACTTGCTGTGTAAATTAACAAAAACTTAGCAAAACATCCCAGTAACTACAGGGCCAAATGGATACAATCTTTGCAATATAAAAAAAAATAAAGACATTATGTCCTGGGTGGAATACACAGCTTGTTTCACCAGACAAGGCTGCTCATTATTCAATGTTTTACAGTAAAACTAGCATTCTGTACATGTCTGTACAAAATGCATGTAGCGCTACACAAAATATTTTAAGAACAACATCCATATGCATTGAACAACAACGCAAAATAAATAAACCACAATCTGTACATTATTTACACAGTAAATACTCACTTCATTGAGAAATAGGTTCTCACATTTGGTTTCATTCATTCCAGGACTGTTGTGGGTTGTTGAATAGCCAGTTGTCCTTCCCATTCTTTCAGTTGTACTGTTTCATGTCAATTTCCGAATCCATATATACTAAATATACAGTAAATCCACACTAGGTGAAAAAGGACTCAAGTTTTTTTTTTTTTTACCACGTAAACCAGACATTACATATATAGTTTATTTCCAAATCCTGATCTCATATTTATTGCAATATGTTACATTAAGCTATGTTTTTCTGTAGACAGTTATTTTTAAATAATTCAATCACCTATGCTCAAAGATTTTATAGCAATGCCATTCAAAAATATAATGTATTTTCTATCGATCTGGATCTTTAAAGCTGTTCATTCAGATGTGTTAAAGTAATCGCTTCTAATGAAGCAGTTCTATAAACCATATACTGTACATACACAGGAACACATACTGTACTTATGTATAAATACGTGCATCACCAACCATTGTTTGTGCATTCATATTGTGCAAAACATGATCCCCAATGGACCAGATTGTATTTGAGAATGAAAACTGAAATATTTTGTAAAAAGATTATCTTTTTTTTCATTCCATTTTTTTTTATTCTGCTTAAGCTATAACCAATTTCTAATTGTAGGAGACTCACATTCCTGTAATAATAATGTAGAGAAGGAACAAGTCTGAGGTTTTGCTTGGACCCAGCTTTCATAGGGATGCAGGAAAATGCCTTCCTTAGCAACTAAAGCTGATTTTCAAAATCTCGTATAAATCATACATAGTGATGGACAATATAAAAAGTGATATATTCCTGTCTTACATAAAAGAAAACCTTTAAAAGAAACCTTATTACTGTACATCAATTAAGGACCGTGAGTCTTTTAACAACATCTTGTCCGCAAAAAAAAAAGTTAAACTTGATTTCTTTAAGGCACCCATAAATGTTACAGCTTTTACTTTCACTGAATGAAATGTGTTAATTATCTATTAACTAATTAGATTTCCTGTTAACATAGAGTATGTAAAATGCCTAGTGAATCTCTATGTCGAATTGGGTTTTTTTTTCTTTGATTCGAGGCAATTTTATTACAAAATCAAATACCAAAAGTCACATTTCCCCAGGTGTAATGTTTGACGATTACTGTACCTTCACCAGTTTTTAAAATGTAGCTTATATGTCGACTGTAAATGTTAAAGATAACATCTAGGAAAATCTTTTTATGGTACTTAAACAGGACCACGGACAAGCATTAAAAATCTCTGTGTCTTCTAAATCTAACATGGACTCTACAGACAGGTGCGTGGGGGTAGGCGTGCAGTCAAGAGGAGGTGGCTTCAAGCAACGCTAAATGCAGTGTTGGTGTCATTGCATTTGTCCATAAAGTTAACTTTCTTGCTGGGAATGGGGCAACCGTTCAAGTCCTCTTGCTCCGTGACATCATGATCTGGGCTCTCGTGAGAGGAGTCCTTCATCACGCTGTAGTAAACAGGCATGTTGTACTTAGTAACCTTCTCAGGCCTCGGCTGCTTGCACTTGCACAGCTTCTTGAAGGCAGCGCGGAATTTCTGGGACATCAGGTTGTAGATGATGGGGTTGATGGCGCTGTTCATGTAGATGCACATCCTGCAGAAGAGCACGAACCAGGTGTTGAGATAGGGGGGGTTCATGAAGGAGTTCACCACCACCAAAGTCCGGTATGGCATCCACAGCAGGGCAAAGAGAACTACCACCACCGCCAGCATTTTCGTGACCTGCAAAGGCAAAACAATGTTATTCACAATCCCTGTGCTGAGCATCTTCAAAGCCACTAATGCACTAATTTAGCACCAGTTTGCTCCACATCTCATTATCCTTCTTTTCTATAATTGAGAAGAAATCTGGTCTGAGTCACGACTACTCCCACCACGTTTTTGTGTGATTACTCACTGTAATGGTCAATGTCTCCACAAATTAAAAACTCTATGATAGCGAAGCTTCAATTGCACTGGCTAATTCCAGAGAGGACTGCATCTCATTCCTGCATTTTACAATCTTAGGAAAACTGCAGTCTGAGCTACAGTAGCTACAGTTTTATCTGGCTGAATTTTAAAATGTTTTGAACCACAATATGTTGCTCATATTGACTATGTACATGCTGATCATAGTTTAGAAAGGCACAAGTACATTAACACTGAGCAGAACACTAAAAATATTAAAACTTATGCAGTATAAGTCAGGAATCAAGAAAACAAATGTTACATTAATAATACTTACATTTCTTATCTCTGATTGTTAACTGATTGTTAATTGCTTAATTAAAAGATTTAATAAAGTTTATTAAGCTTTAAATTAGTATTAAAGCCCTGTAATGATGTGAAGCATCTTCCTCTTCCTTAATTGTTCCCTAATTGACAGTTCACGTCTGTGAGTACCATGAAACTAAATGAACTCGGTTATACTGTACATCATGGACAAATTTAGATCCTTATTAAACTGGAGAATTTAAACCTTTCATTATCTCAAGATGTCTGGAAGACATGTAGGAGGGGTACAGCCAATGACTGGACTGGACCACCGTTAATTATCAACACAAAAACAAAGCAGTACTAATGGATAAAAACAAGCTACATCCCATGTTCTCTCAGGTGTCTACCCACAAAACAGCTCCAGGTGAACTGGGAAGAAAATGCAGAATCTCAGATTTACACTTTCACATTTGTGAACAGGATTTTCATATTTCAAAACTAAACACATTTTTCTTCGTCAGCTATGAATCCCCTGATCATATATAACAATTTAAATTCCTCCATGAAAAATAATTAAGTTTTACACTTACATGTTAATTACATGTAATTGAATTGAATGTAAGTAAAGGCAATCATGGTTGCATATTAATTGTAATTCATTACCATTTCAATTAATTGTGCAAATAATGTGATTAAATACAAACTTACATTTGGATTTAAAATATTGCAAAGTAACTTTCAAATATGCTTGTGCTCTCTCCAGTGTAAGAGTCCTTTGAAAAAAAAAAACGTTTTGTAGATTAACAGCAAAAAGTGATGATGCGCCGAAAATCGAAAAAGCTGGAAGCAGCAAACCTGTCAAATTTACAGTCAATAGAAACCACAGAGTGAAGAAGGATCAAAGCTTCTGATTCACATTCCCCTGCTGGGTTATATTTACTTTTAATATCCATAACAATAAGAGTGTCAAACCTATTTCATGTCCTCAATAGCCAGCAGCCTGACGTCAAACATGACTGGCTTTAAGAATAAAGAGTACAGTGCACTTCCTCAGCTTTAATGGAGCAACACATACAAGGATTAACATCCCAGTGTATCCAATGGCTATAATACAGCTGGGATAGGGATACTAGATAAGTCCAGTTTTATCTTAACACAACACGTCTTCATACAGATGTGGTAAATCAAGAAGTCTACTCTGAAAAGCAGCTTCCGTATTGTTGAGTCACAGCAGATGTAGACCATTAAAATCACTCCATCTTCACCACAGATTCATTTATGCAGTTTCTAAAAACAGGGCTTTGTGGATTTCTCCTGAGTGAAAAGAGACGCTGTCACTCTGGGTGCCATCAGGAGTGGTGTCAGGAGAGACAGTACTGTACAGGGGCTGGCTGTGTGCCTATGTCTGACTTCCCTTTTGCCTGTGACATTTTGAACATTTATATTCACTGTATCTACCACAGTGGCATTGCAGTTAGTGCTGTTGTCTCATGCCTTTTACATCCATGGTTTGATTCTGAATTAGGACACCTTCTGCATGTAGGATACATGTTTTCCTCATGCTCAGGTTTCCTTCCATATTCCACAGACAAGCTAGCTAGGTTAACTGTTGTCTCATAATTGTTCATATATTCTGTATGAGTCATGTGATGGACTGGTGTCCTGTCCAGGGTGGGGTGCCATCCTGTGTCCTGTGATGGACTGGTGTCCTGTCCAGGGTGTGGTCTTGCCTTGTGCCCTGTGATGGACTGGTGTCCTGTCCAGCATGTGGTCTTGCCTTGTGCCCTGTGATGGACTGGTGTCTTGTCCAGCATGTGGTCTTGCCTTGTGTCCTGTGATGGACTGGTGTCCTGTCCAGGGTGTGCTGTCCAGGGTGTGGTCTTGCCTTGTGTCCTGTGATGGACTGGTGTCCTGTCCAGGGTGTGTCGTGCCTTGTGCCCTGTGATGGACTGGTGTCCTGTCCAGGGTGTGGTCCTGTCTTGTG